AACAGCCATTACTTATCTTGGGCTTGACTAATTAGTTTTACTTCCTCAGGGGCTTTTTTTTGTATTGTCTATATAGTTTCATTGTTGCCTTCCCCACATTCCCTGAGCAACTGACAACTTGCTTTCTATTTCTTCAAGGTACCCAGTAAAATAAAACATTTAATTGGGATTCCTAAGCCCAATTCTCATTTCTCTGCCTTTTCCTCTCTACACCTCTCCCTCCATCCATTTATTTTTCTGTTTATTATCTTAATTTGGTTTCTCAAAGATGAGAGACATAGTAAAATTAGAGTGTCAGGGAAAAATTAAAGGGAAGATATCCTAAAACTTCCAGAAAATCTCCACCAATGAAGCCAAGGGAAAAAAAAGCCTCTATTATTTTGTGAAACAGAAACCCAAAAGACACTAATAAAATAATGAAACCTGCTCAAACTGGGTTGGAGTCTCAGACAGTTCACTCAGATGATTGCAAAAACAGACAGAAACTCCCAGATTAAAGAGAGTGCAGGTCAGGCTGAGGGACCCACCCTCCATGAACAAATCTTCGTGCACCAGGCCCTTAGTAATGATAATAAGGTTGACTCTCCTGATAATTGAATAAGTGATAAATGCCAGATACTCTGACAAAGATTTCTGTATTTTGCTAATTAAATCATTTTATAGTCCTTTGAGATGAAACCTTTGTTCTTAATTGTTCTGGTGTACTTCTAGGTTTCATTATTTTATTAGAGTCTTTTGGGTTTCTGTTTCACAGAGTCTCTCTATCTCTACCTATTACCTGCACACCTGTCATCTATCTTATTGTCATCTTCACAACCAGAATTTCTACATATTTCCAAAATTGCCCATGAGATGATAAAGCCCCTATTCAGAATTCCTGGGTAGGGGAAATGACTGTTAGCACACATTTGGAGAGGAAAGAAAATTATCCTATATAATAAAAGGTCATTGGCCATAAGTGTAATGACTATTACCAACTGCTCAACCAGCCATTATGAGGTGTATTGACCTCCTCTTGGTCCCTCCCCCATCTGGCCTGTGAGCCGTGGCAGGTGGGGCGATGAGCAACAAGCAGTGGCAGGCAGGACAGTGGGCACAAGTGACAAGCAGCTACAGGCAGGGCGACAAGTAGTGGGTGGGATGGTGAGCTACAAGCAGTGGCAGGCAGGGTGGCTGCCTGAGCAATGAGTGCGGTGGGTGGGGCAGGGCGGCAAGCGATAAGTGGTGGTGAGCTATCATGCATGATTTCGTGCACTGGGCCTCTAGTCCTATATAATAAAAGCCTAAAATGTGGAGCGTCTTGCAATTTGTTCAACCAGTCTCTATAATGCGCACTGATCACCAGGGCCAGATGCAACCGGTAAGTTAGCTTGCTGCTGGGATCCAGATGATTGGGATGAGCAAGACGGGCCAGACACTCCCTGGAGTGCTCCCATGATTCCTCCCTGGCCCTGCTTGTGCACCAGTGGGGTTCCTCAGCCTGGCCTGCACCCTCTTGCAATCTGGGACCGTTCGTGGGTTGTTGGAGAGCCGGTTTTGGCCAATCTCTGCAGGCCAGGCTGAGGGACCCCACCAGAGCACAAATCTGTGCAGCAGGCCTCTCGTAATGTATAACTTGCCCTTTAAAAACCTTTTTAATCCTTTTTTTTTTTTTTTTAAGGTGTCAAAGTATGGTTATTAATAGGTTTATGAAACTATTATCATTATTTCTTATATTAGGAAAAGAACACAAAACAGGACTTGTGTGTTTCATACTCTGGGAAGTTGAGGAATGGAGATTTAAAATGTAGAGGATCCCCTGCCTGACCTTCAGAGGTATAAGAACAGATGGAATCTAGGCAGTGAGGAAGATTTGTTTCTTTGATCACCTGGAACTCTGCTTAATATAAAATTTGAAGTTACTTAAATTTTAACATGGATAATGTATAAAAGAGATATTCTGGGAAGGTAATTAATCAAGGTCTTGTATGCTTTTTTATGAAGATAGTATTTTTATCCTTAAACTTCTTTTTTTCATATTAGGCTCCTAATAAATAGTTAATAGCTGAAGGTAACGAGTTGATGGAAGACTAGGCTTGTATGAGTTCTGAACTCTGAGTGTTTGGGTAGATTTAGGGATCTGTGAAACCTGCCGTTTTGTGTGTGTGTCATCTGTGTTGCACACATGGGATTATCTGTGAGTCCATTGCTTTCATTAGAATCCCAGAGTAGATTAGTAATCTCTGCCTCCCAGACCCACCCTGAGTCCATTTATAGAAAAATGTTCATGATCCATTGCTGCCCTAGCTGGCGTCGCTCAGTGTTAGAGCCTCCAGCCTTGCACCCTTGGATTTTGGGATTGATTCCATTCAAGGGCATGTACTTGGGTCACAGACATGTGGGAGACAACCAATCCATGTGTTTCTCTCACATTGGTGGGATATTTCATAAATATTGATTAAAGCCCCTTTTTGATGGTATTTAGCTCTGTCTTCTTGCTGGTTGTCTCTCTGATAGTTCTGTCTTGCTGAGAGAGGAATGTTGAAGTTCCAAACTATAATTGTATATTTTTTATATCTTTCCTTTCAGTTCTATCAGTTTTTGTTTCTTATATTTTGGAACTAGAGGCCTGGTATATGATATTTGTGCATAGAGGGATGTCCCTCTGTCTGGTCTGCACCCTCTCCAATCTGGGATCGCTCGCCTGCCTGCCTGATTACCCCTAACTGCTTCTGCCTGCCAGCCTTATTGCCCCCTAACTACTCCTCTCATGCCCCTAGCTGCCCTCCCCTGTTGTCCTGATGGCCCACAACTGCCCTTTCCTGCCACGACCCGCCTCATTTTCGCAAGGCAGCGGAGTCATCAGGGCCGGCCTCTGCACCCTGCAGAGCCATGGGACCCCAAGGCCTCACTGTGCAGAGTTGCTACTGGGGCCTACCTTCACAGCCATCCTGTGGCAGCCATCCTGTGACGGCCATCTTGTGGTGGCCATCTTGTGATGACCATCTTGTGACGACATCACACGAGGGCATCACGCCACCGAGGCTTTTATTACACAGGATTCTGTTATTTCCACATTTAGGATTGCTGTCTTCTTTGTGGTTGGATCCTTTATTAATTTTGTTATGATCCTCTTTTTCTTTACTGATTCTCTTTGCTTTGCCATCTACTTTTCTGATAATAATATAGCCACTTATGGTTTTACTGGAAGCCCAGCCCACGCGAAATCGTGCGGCCCTGCCCTGCCTTGACACCCGAACCTCTCCACACACAGCTTCAGTGTGCCTGGCCCAGCCCCTGACCCTCTGGCCTTCTCTGGCTGCTTTAAACCCTGCCTTCAGTCCCTCCAGTTGCCTTGGGCTGGTCCTGCCTTCTCCTGGCCCCTCCCCGCTTCTGCCCCATCTCTGGAGCAGTGCAGTGGCTCTGCCCCGTCATGGCTCTGGAGGAGAGCGTGGAAGTCTCCCGCCTGCTGCACTGTGTTCCTTTCCCTGGCAGGTGGGTGGCGGGGTGCTCTGAGTGTGAGTGATGGGTGGCGAAGGACTGGTGAGGGGAGTGCTATGGGCTCTCGCCCCCCTCCTCCCTGCATGGAATGGTCCCACCTCCCCCTGGCGCCTCCCCACTTCCACCCTGTCTCCAGAGCAATGCCCCGACACCCACGCACAGGCAGCCTCCTGCAATTGGTCATGACTTTACGTAGTAATGGACAATTTGCATATTCCTCTATTTAGGATTTTTGATTACTGTTTATATAGCATAACCTTTTTCTTTCAATCTATCTATGCCATGATATTCAAAGTCAGGATCTTGTGGATAGCAAATAATTATTTTAGGTCAAATTTTTTCAATCTACTGTGTCAATTTGTTTTTAACTTTTATATTTAGGCCATTAACATTTAAAATAATTATTAATATCTAAGGGCTTAAATCTGTTAGATTATTACTTGTTTACTTTGTTTCTTCCAACTCTTTTCTTGCCTACCTGTGGGCTACTTGAACTTTTTTAGGATTCCATGTTGATTTGTTTGTAATATTTTTTAATATGTTTGTAGTATATTTAGGTAGTAAGTTTTTAGTATATTTGTTTGTAATATTTTTTAGTATGCTACTTGAACTTTTTTAGGATTCCATGTTGATTTGTTTGTAATATTTTTTAATATGTTTGTAGTATATTTAGGTAGTAAGTTTTTAGTATATTTGTTTGTAATATTTTTTAGTATGCTACTTGAACTTTTTTAGGATTCCATGTTGATTTGTTTGTAATATTTTTTAGTATGTCACCAGTTTCTTTGGGTATTACAATAAGCATGTGTGACTTATTTATTTTTAAAAAAATATATTTTATTGATTTTTTTACAGAGAGGAAGGGAGAGAGATAGAGAGCTAGAAATGCCGATGAGAGAGAAACATTGACCAGCTGCCTCCTGCACACCCCCTACCGTGGATGTGCCTGCAACCAATGTACATGCCCTTGACTGGAATCGAACCTGGGACCTTTCAGTCCACAGACTGACGCTCTTCTCTGAGCCAAACCGGTTTCGGCCCATGTATGACTTATTAGGGACTGTTCCTATTAACATTTTAGCACTCCAGGTGACATATAGAAATCACTTCTATTCAGGTTTCTTTACGTTCCCAATTTAAAAATTATAATTATCTTGTTTCCTGTACATTGAATACATCAGATGATCACATTAAAATTCATAAGGAGAACATTTTATCTTCTTTTTATCTGAAGTTGCAAACCTCCTTCAGTTATCATTTCTTCCTAGTTTTGAGAACTTCTTTTAGCCTTTCTTTAAAATTTGGACAGCTGATTTGTCTTAGTGTTTTTGTTTGAGAATATCTGTTTCTCTTCTTTAATTCTTGATGAATATTTCCACTAGGTATAGAATTTGAGAATGTCAGTTCTTTGTTTTCAGCATTTAAAATGTTTCTACTTTCCTGGCTTTTGTAATTTCTATTGAGAAATGTGTAATTTCTCTTAGTAGCTTTTAAAAATGTTGGGTTTTGTTTTTTTTTGCAAGTACATAAAGTTTCAATTTTATTATAGTTTTATATCACACTAGCTCAAATGCATTTCTCTATAACACTTCAACATAGCTCCTTTGGATTTATTTTGGTTATCTGGAGAATATTTGACTTTATCAAAGACTTTGAATCTCAAACAAATATAAAATTTCAAATTATTAATTTTTAGATGAAAAGGATAAGAAATAAGTCATTAGATGATGAGTGGCGTTGTTAATTTCCAATAAGACACTGTCGAAATGTTTCTTCTGACACAGCAGTTATAAATTAGAACCTTCAAAAAATAAGGACAGAACCAAAGTATAATAAAAGAAGCTTCTGCAGTGTAAGCCTCCCGTAGTCCTCAGCCTCTGACAGAAACAAGGTAAAGCATCTTTCCTGAAAATTAAGTGGATTTCCAGTATTTTCATGCAATTGAGCTAGACACTCAAGACTTATCATTAACATATATACCATCTTGGCTCTGGGTGCACTAATTATGCCTGAAGAGCTTAATACCCATCCAAGTCCACATGGGCATGAGCAGATTGTAAAAGCACAGGCTGGCTGTGCTAGTGCAGCCCTGTGGGAAGTTTTCTTCCATGGAGACCGAGTAGAACAGTCCTGCTAAGGTGATCAATGGAATGAGGACAGTCAGTGTAGGAAGAGATAGAAACATTCTCCTCTTCCACTTAATTACCTGCCACACTGACTTTTTAAAAGGTAGATGGTATTAAGAAAATCTGGTTGTATATGTTGTTTTTAATTATGATCTAGTGCTGCTCCTAATCTTCTTGCTTCTTATTTTGATGTGTGTCACCATCCTAGCTGCCCCTGGTATCATATTAGGGATCTTATCAATAATTGGGTAGGCCATTCCCAACTCTTCATTAATTAATTCGATTGTTGATGCTTCATATTTGAGCGGCTTCTTGGAGAGCGGGCACACCAGGAACTCCAGCAGCACCAGGTCAAAGGCGTGGGGCAACTCTCAGGTCTCTGGCTACGATCCAAACATGTACAGGCACCTACAGACCGACCTTGGATGAAGACAGCGCGCATATCCTGTGCAGCACTGAGCCGAGCCTGCCAAAACTCAGCATGGTTCAGCAGCCTGCAACTGCCCCTCGCCACACTCTGCCAGGCCCCCTTAAAAATGTTTTCTTAAGTTGCATTGGTGATATAGTGAGCATAGTTGCCTTCCAAAAATGTTTTCTTTGTGTATAGTTTCATAACTTTGATTTGATGCATCTTGGCTTTCTTTGGATGTCTTTGCATATATCCTTTTTGGGATTTGCTTAGCTTCTTAAATCTGTAGGTTTATGCCTCTTGCCAAAATTTGGTAATTAGTCTTTATTTTTTCAAGCATTTTTTTTAGACATATACTCTTTCTGTTTTCTTTTTGGAACTTCAGTGACACAAATGTCAAATCTTTTGTTAATATAGACATCTGTGCATTATTAATTTTTCCAATCTTTGTTGTTGTTCAGATTGGTTAAGTTTTATTCACCTCTCCAAGTTTGGTGATTTATTTTTGTCAGTTACCTTCAAACTATTGAGCCCACCCATTGAGCTTTTTACTTTAGTTATTATATTTTTCAATTCTCCAATTCCTTGGTTACCTTTTATATCTTCCATTACTTGCCAGTGTTAAAGAGGGTTTATAATTGTTCGTTGACATATTCTTAAGATGATTGCTTTAAAATCCAGGTCACTTTTTTTCAACATGTGAATAATCTCAGTGTTGCCATATATATACTGTCTTTTTTTATTCAGTATGTGAGTAATTTAAAAAAAATTATATCCTGGACATTTGGGCTATTATGAAAACCTGTACTCTTTTTAAGTCTTAATTTTAGCAAGTACTCTTGCTAAAGATTCTTGCCTACTTTTGTAGGCTTTGGTTTCAATGATAACTTACTTTCAGAGCCTTTCCAGTGTTATTCTGATTTGTTTATTGTAATATCTAAAAAGCCACTCTGAAAATGGGGATTTGTGATATATTATAGTATATTCCTCAAATCTTTTGCATGTTAATTTAGTCACCTAAATGGGTGGGTTGGTTCTACCCAGGACTTTTTATGCAGACTTAAAGATTTTTTTTCTCTCCAGTTCTCTCCAAGATCCTCCTACTTCTAATCTACTCTCTTATTGGGGTGTACTCCTACTTTTAATCTACTCTTTTATTGGGGTGCACTGCCTTTCCCTGCTGGATAGGAGTGGAATTCTTGACTTGGTCCCCACATTGTTTTCATTGACAACACACCATTGGAGGGAGGGGATTGCCACCCAGACTACCTGCTACTGTTAGCTAATGGGCAAAATCCCAGAATTCCATTTATTGTTTGATAATAGGATGTGATAAGAGAAATCTTAAGTCAGACTAACTCGAGCCAAAAGGAATTGATTGGGGTTTTGACTAAAAAGTTTAGGGGTGTAGAGGATATTTGCTTTAAGCATGATTGGATTTAGATGCTCAATTTGTGTCTTTACTGATCATTTTCTCTTAAGTCTCATCTTTGCTTCTTTTTGGGTTAGGTTTGTTTTCTGCCTCTCTATAGTAAGAAATGTACTCTTCATCAATAGCTTTAGAATTTTTTTGTCTTTGCAACCGGTATTCTCCTAAGGCCTTGTCTGTCCCTAAAAAAAGAGATCTAAATGAGCCTACTTTAGTCAAAGCATGACTACTTCTAAACAAATTACTGCATTAGAGGAGTGGATGTTCTGGCTGACATGTAGCTTATGCTTAATTTTGTGACAGAAATGGTGGGGAAGCAAGGCAATTTCTTTTAAAGCAAGTCTATTTTAAATAGAAATAAATTTTGCCTTGGCCGGTTTGGCTCAGTGGATAGGGAGTTGGCCTGCGGACTCAAGGATCCCAGGTTCGATTCTGGTCAAGGGCTTGTACCTTGGTTGCAGGCACATCCCCAGTGGGAGGTGTGTAAGAGGCAGCTGATCGATATTTCTAACTCTATCCTCTCTGTGGAAAAATGAATAAAATATATTAAAGTAATAAATTTCTCTTTGGCTAGTGTGACTCAGTTGTTGACTGAGAAGTCATTGGTTGGATTCCCACTCAAGGTACATGCCAAGGTTCTGGCCTTAATCCCCAGTAGGGGGTTTACCTGGTAGAGGAGACGGCCAATCAGCGTTTTTCTCTCTCATTGATGTTTCTTTCCTTATCCCTTCCTCTCTCTCTAAAATCAATAGAAAAATAAAAAACAAAGAAAAAAAATTTTAAGGAATGACTTTATGTTTTCTTTTATGAATGTTTTTGTTGTTGTTGACAATATTACAGATATCCCTTATCCCCTTCCTTTCCCCCTTTACCCAACCCCTGCCCTACCCCAGGCCTTCACCACACTATTATCTGTGTCCATGAGCTATGCATATATTTATATATGTTCTTTGGTTATTCCCTTCTTCTGCCCCTCACCCCCCTTTGAGATCTGTCAGTCTGTTCCATGCATTATCCATGCCTCTGGACCTATTTTATTTGTCAGTTTATTTTTGTTCATTAGATTCCACATGTAAATGAAGTCATTTGGTATTTGCCTTTATCTGGCTTATTTCGCTTAGCATAATAATCTCTAGGTCCATCTATGCTGCCGCAAAGGATAGGAGATTCTTCTTTTTTACAGGTAGATAATATTCCATGGTGTAAATGTACGGCTTTTTTATCTACTCATCTAGTAATGGGCACTAGGTCTTTTTTCATATCTTAGCTATTGTAAATAATGCTGTGAACATAGGGGTGCATATATTCTTTCTCATTAGTTTTTCAGAATTTTTAAGATATATTCCCAGGAGTGAGATTCCTGGGTCAAAAGACAATTCCATTTTTAACCATTGTACTCTATAAGTATCTATAGACACAAGTGTCAGACCTTTTTAAATTACATCCAAAATATCGTGGCCGTTAGTTGGTTTTTTTTTTTTTTTGTTTTTTTTTAAGGAAACTCCATACTGTTTTCCTGTACCAGTCTGCATTTCCATAATCAGTGTACTAGTGTTCCCTTTTCTCCACAACCTCACTAGCACTTGTTTGTTGTTTTATTGATAGAGCCATTTTGGCACGTGTAAAGTGATACCTTATTGTAGCTTTAATTTGCATCTCTCAGATGATTAGTGACATTGAGCATTTTTTCATATATCTGTTGACCATCTGTGCATCCTCTTTGTAGAAGTGTCTATTCGGGTCCTTTATTCATTTTTTTATTGGATTTTTGTCTTCTTGGTGTTGAGTTCTTCATATATTTTGGAAATTAACCCCTTATCAGATATATCATTGGCAAATATGTTCTCCCATACAGTGGGTTCCCATTTCATTTTGTTAATGGTTTCTTTTGCTGCATAGAAGCTTTTTAGTTTGAAGTGCCATTTGTTTATTTCTTCCTTTGTTTCTCTAACCCACATGTGTCAAACACAAGGCCCGCGGGCCAAATCCGTCCCGCCAGGCCTTGCAATGTGGCCCGCACCGCGCTGTCATCACTGCACTCCGCTGCGTTTCCATCACAATGACAGTTTATGACTGTTCAGTAAACCATTCGGCCCGTGATTTAGGCTGGATTTTAGATTTTGGCCCCTTCTCTGATTGAGTTTGACACCCCAGTCTAACCCTAGGAGATGTATCAGCAAAAATACTGCCACGTGAGATGTCTGAGATATTACTGCCTATGTTTTCTTCTAAAATTTTTATGGTATCACCACCTACATTTAAGCCTTTTATCCAATTTAAGTTTATTCTTGAATATGGTGTAAGTTGGTGATCTAGTTTCATTTTTTTGCATGTACCTGTCCAATTTTCCCAATGCTATACATTGAAGAGACTATCTTTACTCGACTGTATGCTTTTGCCTCCTTTGTCAAATATTAATTGACCATATGGTGGGGGTCAATCTCTAGGGATTCTGTTCTGTTTCATTTGTCTATATGCCTGTTCTTGTTTCAGTATGTGATCCGTACAACTTTGTCTTTCTCCAGATTGCTGAGGCTATTCGGATTCTGTCTTTTTTCATATAAAGTTTTTGAATATTTGTTCTAGATCTATGAAATGTGCTGTTGGTATTTTAATAGAGATTGAATTAAATATATAGATTGCTTTGGGGAGATTTTTTTAATGATGTTAATTCTTTCAATCCATGAACACAATGTACGTTTACACTGCTTTATACCTTCCTTTTATTTCTTTTTTCAATGTCTTATAGTTTTCTGAGTACACGTCTTTTATCTCCTTTGTTAAGTTTATTCCTAAATATCTTTGTTGTTGTTGCAATAGTAAATGGGATTGTTTTTTAGTTCTCTTTCTGAGAGTTCATTATTGGTGTATAAAAATGCCATCAGTTTTTGGATGTTAATTTTGTATCCTACTACTTTGCCCAATTCATTTATTAAATCTAGCAGTTTTTTAGTGGAATATTTAGTTTTTTTACATACAACTAGAGGCCCAGTGCACAAAATTTGTGCACGAGGGTGCGGTGTGTGTGTGTGTGTGTGTGTGTGTGTCCCTCAGCCTGTTCTTGGCCTGCAAAGACGCCAGCATTCCTCACCTGGCCTCTGGCCAGAGGTTCCTCCCCTTCTTCCACACAGTCTCTGGGAAGATGCTTGTCCTGGGGCCTCCTTAGGGCCCTGACCCATGATGCCCTGCAGCTTGGGTACTTGGGTGCTTGGGCTTTCAGGTCTGGCTTCCTTGCCTGGCTGTGCATCAGCTGCCATGGGAGCCTTGCCTCAGGAGTTGCCCTCTTTGACCATACTACTTGAGTGTGTGTGTGTGTGTGTGTCGGGGGGCAGCTTGGCAGCAGTAATTTGATGTCTGTAGCGTGCCTGCCAGACCCCTGCTGCTGCGGCGCCACACTGGTTCTGTCTGGACTGCTGGC